ATTGATGTACCATTCGATTTCATCTTACGACGTGGTCGCTTGTAGCTATCTGACACGCGAAACTAATTGACTACCGATTTTGATAGATGATTTTCCCGCCACGTTTACTTTACTTTGCAGTTTGTCTTGAAATTGGTTTTACTGAAAGTTTAAATTTCACTTTTCTAGGTCCTCATCAAATTGAGGTGACTTTCGGCGACCATGCCGTTCCCGGCAGCCCATTTCAGTGCGAAGTGCTGGATACAAAGGCGATCAAATTCACAGTGCCGAAATCACTGGTGCTTGGCAAGGAGGCAGTAATAAAAGGCGAGTGCGTTGTGCTATTGTAGGAGTTGATTGAACTTTTCGTGTTGTTTCTGTGTCTATTCGGGTTTGATCTGCCGTACTAATTTTGGCATCGATTGCTGCCTATGCGGAGTTGCTGATTTTGGTTCCGCAATGACGTATTTTGCCAGATTAGGTGGTACTGCGCAAATAGCGTTTATAAAATTACACATTCGAGTGCAAATAGTTATTTGCAAGCGCGTTGAATCTATAGTAATTTAGTCGTGTGTTGGTTTTCATACTGAAAAATGTATGTAAATGGTTTATTTATATTCAACACAGACAAGTTTCTCGGTCGGCTGATTTGCGAATACCGACTTTTCGGCTCGTCTCTCACCAGACTTCTTCTGTATAATCTGGGTTCATTTCCGCCGTTGGTTCTGTGGTCCGCAGCTGTTGCTACATTTTGAGCCAAAGGTGTGCATTTGGCTGATGCTGCAGCTTAAGTAGTTTTTCGATACCAAGCTTGATAAGGCTTATCCAGTCCATTCAGAGCTCGTATCCTTTGCTCCAGTTGAAATTTTCGTAGGACTTGGTAGGCAAAGCCTGTTTGATTCATCTGATCAGGCAGTTTCTTTCTTTAACGATGACCACACCATCTAACCGATGTGGTACGGGACCTTTTCCGGCGCGTGTTACACGATTCCCCAGGACGTTTCTTATTATTTATTGTCTTTGGAACGAGGGTGAGTTTGTTTCCTTTTGGTTGTTTTGCTGTTGCAAGTCGTTCCCGGAGAAACAAATCATCCATTCTAACAATGTCAAAGAACAGTATGAAAAGGCTTCGGGGATCATTTAATAACACGCAGCAGAAAAAAGGCACGTTTTCCAATGGTTAGACTCCGTGGTTTCACTGTCTAAACAGATGAATCAAAAAGGCCTTGACTACCCAGTTCTATGAAAATTTCAACTGGCACAAAGGATACGAGCTTTGCACGGATTGGATAAACCGTATCAAGCCCGGTACCAAGAAACTACTTAGGCAGCAGCATGAGTCAAATGCAAACCTTTGGCTCAAAACGTAGCAACAGCTGCTGATCACAGAACCAATGGCGGAAAACAACCCGAACTATTTAGAAGAAGGCTTGTGAAAGATGAGCCGAAACCTCGGTACTGGCCAATCATCCGACCGAGTCATTTGCTTGCTTTATATATAGATTAACTGTCTCTATGCAGTTTTCGCGTTCATTCATCATCATCATCTTCCATCGCCGCTTCTTCTTTCGTGTCGCGGAGGCAGACGCGTCAGACAGAGCTTCCAACGTTTACGATGTTGTGCCAGAGTCGAAGCTTTACCAGAAAACAACTTCAGTCCGGAACAGACTCCTTCCATATATTTGCACCAGGTTGATCTTGGCCGTCCTCTAGGTTTTCTGCCGGTCGGCTTCGCAAGAAGGACTTGCTTAGCCTTCCTCTCTTGAGGCATTCGCAACATATGCCCAAACCAACGCGGCTGCGACTTCTCAATCTGGAGAAGCAAAGGCTGTACACCAACGCTCTTCCAGATGTCAGTATTCTGGACCATGTCGAGACGCGTAATGCCAGCGACTCATCTAAGAAAGCCCATTTCAGCAGCTTGTGCCCCGGTTCGGTTTTTCAGTGATGGTTCAGTCCACCACTCATGACCGTACCTAGGCATGGCGATGAAGATCGACTTGATAACCGACAGCTTAGTTTCCAGACTGAGCTCTGTTTTCGTCAAAATGGATCGGGCTAGTTAACGCATAACACCACTGGCTACTCCAATTCGTCGGTCGATCGCTTCCTTCAATTTTCCATCACTACTAGGTGCAATTACGAGGTACTTGAGCTTCTCAGCCTGTTCCGCTGCCTCTCCGTTAATCTGAAGAGAGATACGGGCAGGAGAACGTGAAAGCACTAGGCTTTTCGTTTTAGATGCGTTCACATGCATGCCGATCGCGTCGCACTCGGCTGCGAACTTTTCTAAGAAGCACTCTAGATCAGTTTCAGAGGATGCTAATAAAACAGGATTGTTTGCAAGCAGCAACCTTCTCGACTTCACATCTCG